TGATTTATTTTATTTTCTAATTCTTTATAATATCTGAAAAATAAACAAGTTATTATTACCTCTCCACCGATTATGACTTATAGTCGTACCATTAATTGTAACAGAACCACCAGAGTAAGTTACATTAATACCATCTCCCCAATTATGATCAATATAGGAAGCATTAATCCAAATATCAGCTGCTCCATTATTTACCAAAATACCTGCCTGTCCCTCATTTCCTACTACTGTTATGTTTGTAAACGTTGTACGTTCGCGTACTTCACGTATCAAAATACCATTTCCAGTATTATTTGCTGTCACAGAGTTTGTTATGTTTAAACCGTAAAATGCCTTACCTAAAAATAATTTTTCAATTTTCATATTTGAAAGAATTTTTTACTATTTTTTTGCTAAAACTTTTGATTTAAAATTAATTCCACACAGTCAACAATAAATTTGTAATAATTCAGTGTGACAATATTGCTTGTATTTCACGATTTGAACTTTTAATCAAAAAACACAAAATTTGTTTTAGTAAAACTTTTTGTAAATAAAGCAGTTTACTTAAAAACAAGTTTGAAATTTTAAATTCGTAATCTTCTAATTATAAAATGCAAATCTAATAGTGCTTGAAAGAATTTTAGAATTTGGATTTTTAAACTATAATATTTATGGAGAGAAATCAGTGTTTATGATGATTTTCTGAACTTACCAGTAGGAGAAACATGGATCCGAAATATTACATGGATATCACCAGCTACTCGACCACTTAATCCATTTATTGAATGCTCGAGCGAAAAGTAAATCGGTTGACCAGAATTGCTATTACAGTAATTTTAATTAAAAGATTTGATTTAAAAAACCACAAATTTCATTATAAATCGAATTTTCAGAAAATTGAATAAAACTCAATTTACCTAATTGAAATTGTTTGTGGAAGAATGTGATCTAAAATTGGAATTCGATACTTTACACTGCCACAATCATTTTGGTTAATATTTGCATTACAAATAATTAAGTAAGTTTTCGAGTCTTCAATTTGATCAATTTCATTTGTTACTGCCATAAACTGTATGCTGTATGTGTAATGAAATTGAGATGGTAATGATATAATCTGAAAATAGTAATAACATCTTTTAATTTTTTACTTTGCTGCAACAGAAATACTGTAGAAAAACGTTGTTATTGTTAGAAGTTAAAGAAACACCGCAAAAATCGTTAAGTAATTACAGCAAACGTCATTGAATTATTCATGCAAAAACTTCAAGATTATCTCACTACTTGCAGTTCATTCATGAAACTGTTATACTTAATTTTTAATCAAAATATATTGTTTGAAAATAACTAATCATACTGAAAACGGTAGTTTGAAAAACAAGAATGAAAAATTTTTAGAAAATTCAGTGCATGGT